ACTCAACTTTGTTAAACATATAGCTCGATCTATACAGATTTGAAAAGGACACATTATCATGATAAGTCATTTCGTTTTACTCCTATTCCACTATCTGAAATTTTAAATATAATGTTAGATAACAAAGTCTCGAGTGGTCAACTTAAAATACCAAAATATATATTTTTGTACTATAAAAATGAAGTCATTTTTTTCACAAAACAAAAACTGAATATTTTTTTTATGTATCATGAATAAAAAAAGAGAAGACAATCAAAACAATGACATAAGAAAAACACTGAAAAGACAATTTTCCGCAAAGCAATACACAGGAAAAAAAAGATTGAGCAACAATGAAAGGCGGCGTGGGTATATGTCAATGACGCAGCAACCAAATGAAACACATGACCAAAAGACATCAAGAGGGCATCAGGAAGTCTTAAACAAAAGGTGAAGACAAAAGTGCCTATATGTCAATTCTTTTTTTCAAACAACATATTTTTTTGTCATATATGCTGGTAACAAAAATTAAAATGATTTTTATATTTATTTTCTTTTGTAGAGACAAAGGTTGATTACTTGACACAGATTTGAATTGTGAAAAAAGTCAAGAATTAAACAATGCTTAAAGGAACCAAACGAAAATTCTAACAGAGAAAGAAGACACAATTATACGTAGTATTTATTCTGTGTTTGTGTAGACATAATTTCTTTATCATAAAACAAAAATAAAAAGGGTTCATTTAATGCCTGTCCATCTGACAAAATTGATACTTAACAAGTGTTTGCTCTTGTATATCGTAGATATATATCTAGTAAGACAATTTGAGAGAAGAGTTTTTAAAAATCAGTAACATGGCTTAGATTATAATTATAAAAAAATCATATAAAAGTAACTCTTGTCAAATTCCTCCACTGTCCCAGGTTAGGGACACAGCCCACAGGTTTCAGCCCACACAAACATGTTTAACCCAACCACATTCTGTATGTGCCTATCCAAAGTCAGGAGCCTGTGATTCAGTTGTTGTCGTTGGTTTATGTCTTTCATATTTGTTTTTCGTAAATTGCATTTTGTTACAAATAAGATTGTTAGTTTTCTCATTGGAATTGTTTAATTTTTTTTATGTCAGGCCCTTTTCAAGCTTACTATATGATATTTATAGAATAACTAATCGAAGAATTCAAATAGAGAAAAATATTCAACGAGTGACCGAACAACACATTAATTCACGAATGCGCGTAGCGCATGAGTTAATTATCAGTGTTGTTCGGTCACGAGTTGAATATTTTTCGATATTTGAATTCTTTGATTAGTTATTCTTTTTATTACATTGGCAAAGGGCTTTTTTTAATGAAATTAATGTAGAAAATGTAAGGAACTATATCTTTTTTCTACGCATTCACAATTTGTTTTGATCCGACGTTATCGACGTCTTGACAACGCCTATTGTTGTATGACGTCAGAGAGTGAAATAACCACGTTTATTTCACATGTGAAATTATCGGTTTTTATTTGACTGGGAAATCAATGTAATTCATTGCTACCAATGTAATAATGAGTTTTCTCATTGATGAAGTCTGTACAGTGACCTATATTTGCAAATATCCATGTCTTATGAAACTCAGGTGGATAGTTGTCTCTTTAAAAATCATAACACATCTCCTTATTTTCACGTAGAGATTCACAGGAGAAGATATTTTTCTTGTGAAGCTGACTTGTATGCTAATAAATGCTGCATATTAAAATAAGGAGTATATTACACTTTTGAGTTATTGATTTGAAGTTACCAGTGTGGGATAAATCCCATTCCATCTTCTCCATGTGCATAATGTGAGCATGCATTCAAACAGTATTGAGTTTCATGAAAGGCTGGTTAAGTTGTTCATCTCTTCTATAGACACGAACAATACTGGCACCGTGGTAATGTGTGAAGGTTTGTTCTTATGTTTATTCTTCCCAAACGAATTAGGCGATACGGATTATAGGTGTACAAGCTGAGAAACATTCAGACTTGTGTATCGTTTGCAGACTCTTTTGTCCCATGGTTGTCATATTGACATTTATTGCTATCCAGAATCTTTTATTTATGCTCAATATCAGAATAATAAAATTTCATCGAAACAAAAATGTTCAGCAAATCATGTATGCATGTAGCCTTCAGTAATAGGCAAGTAACCTAGACCACATGTACATAAATGTACATTAATATCAAACTATATGGAAGCCAGAAACTATAATAAGATGTTTAACCATCAATAACAAATCAAAAACTATATCATTCCAACCCACATTTGTATTTCTAGCTTCATACTCTTTTTTTATCAAATTATCCTGGATTTTATTTTAGTCAAAAGTCCCACTAGCCAAATAGTTTGGTGTGAAAGCATATTGTTACAACACATTCTTAACCGAAGTAAATGAAATTTGAGTATAACAAAGCTCATTGTGTGATCTCACTGATCTTCCAATAATATAATATAGCTGTTAAAGAAGTCTTTTTACATTGCATTCTTAGTACTTGGGCGAGTTATTTTTCTTTACAAAGAAGTAATTGATGTATGCTTTTTTATAAGGTAAGTGTATCAGAATTCAGAAAGGATATATAAAAAGGACAGTATAAATTAAAACAATATTAGACAACAATAGACCATACTGACTGGCATAAAATGAGATGTAGCTTAACCAGTTACATTGTTTATATGCACACAAACTTCCCTACAGACCAAATGGCATAACATAAGAAAAATGGACAACAAAATAAAAAATGGAGAAAAAAACATTATAAAGAATTTGAGAATACTGGTTTGCTATAATATAAAGAATAGAGAATAATGGTGTGCTATAATATAAAGAATAGAGAATAATTATCAAGAAAAATGAAGAATAGAGAAAAATGGATCAAACGCTGATTTAGGAAGGGGGGGGGGGGGGGGGGGGGGTGCTTATGGAGCTACATATATTTTAAATCATAGACTTTTTTCAAGATTAGCTCCAAACGGTGGCTTGCCAGGTGTGCCTTTTATCAATTTCCTGGATCCGCACTTGTGGCTTAAGAATTTAAAGAATCCGGAAATGAAGCCCCATCCCCATCCAGGCCTTCACGGATAGAGGAGGGTCTTGATGGGTTTTACAGAACAGAGAATAAAGGGCTACAAAAAAAATAAAGAATAGAGAATAATGGGGATGCTAAAATATAAAGAATAGAGAAAAACAGGCAAAATTTATAAAGAATAGAGAAAAATGGAATTAAAAATTTAAGAATACAGAAATGAAGAACCCCCATCCATCCCCTCATAGAAAACTTTTCCATGATATGATTCTGTAAAACAATACAAATGTGACAATTTAAAAAGACATGACCTGCATTTATTGGGTACTACTGTTTGTTTATCATTGGATTCTCGTTCTATATTGGAAAAGATGGACGACTTATCATGTCTGGATTTATCTATTAAGCTTAAAAAATTTTAAATGTACATGTACAAAATTGATAAGACAAAACGACACACTTCAATACAGTTTACCATCGTTTTGGTAGAAATTTAAGCTAGAAAATTAGTTTAATGATAGTTTTTTTTAGAGAAAAATACAAAAAAGAATTATAAGTATTGTCGGAGACTTATAAGAGGGACTAGATGGGGTTTACAGAATAGAGAATAATGGCCAAAAAAATAATGAATGGAGTAAGATGAGCAAACCAAATAAATAATAGAGAATAATGGGGTGTAAATGTATGAAGAATAACTGTACTGTGGAAAATAAAAGAAGTCGGCAATATTATACTGATCACAGAAATGATCTATGTACAGAATAAAGAAATCATGGAATTACAGATAAATCTAGTTGTAAAATAAAGTTCATAGTAGCGTTATTTTTAAAAATAAAGAAAAAATCCCCAAAACATTAAAGAATACAGAAATTAATGACCCCCATACAGTACCTCATAAAATATGTCACTGGTATTGTTAATCAATGAAAAATATAGGAAAACTAAACATGACTTGCCCTATATATAAGTGCTTAACAGATGCACTTGATCTTATTTTCACTAATAGATCTTAAAAAATCGGTATATAAACTGAGACAACTAGTAGTCTTGGTTATGAATAATAATGTTTGAAACCGTCTAAGTACTTATAGTGTCTCATATTGGAAATGCACTTTGGGCATCAAAGCGTGAGATACAAAATGTCAGTTATTTTAATCAGAGACATCCACCGTTATTTTGGGGATAACGTAAGTGCTATTTATAGATTAAATTCTATATTTAATTTTTAGTTACGCCCCCTATAAATATCTGACCAGTCCGGTAATACAACCCAGACGCTATATTTATATGTGCGTCTGGGTAATCGAGACTACGTTCAGCGTAACTATCATCCTTGTGCGTTGTAGTTACCTGTTACCCTCTGTAAATCCCTCCTCTATCAGGAGAACCGGGAATTCTTCCAGCAGTTGTTTTATATCTATGTTACACTATAGTACCCTATTTAACAAGTCTGTATGGGGTCTTTCACACCAATACCACTATTAATTTTGGTTCATTATTTAAAAAAATAAATTTAGTTTAATATAGTAAGTTTACTGTAGTAAGAAAACCAGGACGGGTTCAAACAGAAAGATTTTGAAACCAGAGAAATCTGTACACCTTACAATCAGCATGACTTTATCAGATGACAATACGAATACTAAAAATCCAGGCTAAACATAAGGCATAGGTACTTAAATTCAGTCACAGACCCTCGACATGTCCCGGGTGTCCTACTATATATATTAAAAAGAAAAGATAAGTATATCTTATTTGAATTCGCTGGGCATATATGGATTTATGCTGTTACAAGAAAGAGAGAACTATATCTTAGAGTTTGTATTGAGATATTTGGATTGGTTAAGGACTCGTTTCTTTACAAATTAAATAGCAATATAAATTAGAATAAATCTCAGAAAAATAAGTGAAGATCCTTCCATGGGAAAAGTTGAAAAATAATTATCATATTTAATGTCTTAATTTCAATTTCAGAGATAAATTGCTACAATAGATATACCAAAGGATCGAATTATTTAAGAAACATAAGCAAAACAAATGGAATTCCATGTTTGAAATGGAACATGGTATATTCGCCTATTGTAAAATACCACGAAGACCATAACTACTGTCGTAATCCACTACCTAGTCAAGTTGACAGGCCGTTTTGTTATACCAGAGCTTCAGATTTTCAATTTGAAAAGTGTGATATTCCAATCTGTGGTAAAGTATTGCTGTATTAAGAACGAAAAAACAAATTTATTACAATTGTTAGTTCTTGAAATTTTGACTACAAAATTCATTCAATGCCAAAATTGAATTAATGATTACTAGTATTCTTATTTGACTTTTTGAATAAAATTAGTTAATAATAATTTTTATATAATTTTTCTCCTTTGAAACACAAGACCTTTCTCATGGGAATTCCCTGTTAACTACTGCTTATTTCGAATATAGGAAAGTACCAATCAGGCGGACGTATGGAACATTTTGCAGAAAATGAAATTATCTCTTCATATGCATATATTTAATATTTCATAGTTTATCTGTCTTCATAAAATTATAAGAGTTTAAAAACATTGTTAAAGAACGCACTTAAAATTCCCAAATTGGTAGGAAACAATGATAAAATTGTAGCTATGATTAGATTTAGATACGATCCATGTAAACTCATTGATGCTTTGAATAAATTTATTCTTAAAACTTCTCAATTTTACACAGTAGTAAAGTAATGCAACAGTAGTTTATCGATGTTCACATCTCATCAATCGATTAAGAAGACACAAAACAAGGTAACAAACAAAAACTGAGGCAAGATTGGGTGCGTCAACAGAGTTTGCGTGACCTTCTAGGCATGCATCATCAGCCATTTTAACCCACTTTTAGTCAAAATTGCACAACCGGGAATTAGACACAATCGATAAAACATTCGAGATTAGACGACTACTCTCCTGTCTAAAGATCTAAAACAGCAAAAACTTGAGTTGATATACAGTCATATCGTCCCGGTCAGGATATTCTTGATGGTGTTAGAAGCACAATCTGCTTTTGAAGTCCATATAATTTTAACATGCACCAACTTAATGTTTCAACTTAGATTTGTAAACGGCCTACGGTGGGGCACACGAGAGGATATGTTACTGCTGAGAAATGTGAAGTTGAAATCATCACGTTTGTCATAGATTCTAGTTTGAAGTCCATCTGTGACAATATCGAGGAAAAGATCGCACTTCTAGTTTAAAAGTATCCTTAATCTTAAGTTCACTGTGATATATGCGATGCAAGCACTCACAAAAATGGGGATTTTTTGTCGGGGCGGCACATTGATAGCAAATACATAGAATTGAGAATGGAAACGGGGAATACGTCAGAGACAACAACCTGACCAAAGAGCAGAAAACAGCCCAAGGCCACCAATGGGTCTTCAATGCAGCATGAAAATCTCGCGCCCGGAGGCGGGCTTCAGTTGGCCCCCAAACAAAAATGTATACTAGTTCAGCGAAATGGACGACACACTTAACTCAGAAACATATAAATGAACCAAAATTTAAAAAAAACATACAAGACTAACAAAGGCCAGAGGTTCCTGACTTAGGACAGGCGCAAACATGCTGCGGGGTTAAACATGCTTTGTGAGATCTCAACACGCCCCTTTACCTCTAGCCAATGTGGAATAAACAAATACACAGCAATAAATGAAATATGAAAACAATAAAAAGCAATCTGAGTAAAAGACAATTTCAGAAAACAAACAGAAAGAGTAAATATTGGGCCCGAATTTATATATTAGTCTTTGTAAGATTTATTTGTATGTTTGTTTGCATTTGTTAGTCAGTTGTGTTGTATATCTGTGATGCATGTTTACACAGTTTTGGCTGCTGGATCCCAATAATGGTTACATTAACCTATTATTTGTGTTTCGGTTGCTCACCCAATTTGTCAATAAAACGGAACTATAAACTACTATCATACAAGTGGGAGATTTTCTGTAGCTCAACTATTTCCAAAAATTGATTGTCCTACTGCAAATATGTGCGTTACGACTCCCATAGCTCCTTCTCCTCATTATCATTAATCCCTAATTTTCCAATATATATCAGTTTTTTGTACCATATGTATTCAAATATACCATATGTTTACTCGGAATATTCATGTTTACCTTAGCCGTAGGTCGGCGATTCTCACCGGGCACTCCGGCTTCCTCCACTAATGAATAGCGCTGAAAGTGGCGTTAAACACCAATCAATCATGTTTACTACAAGCGGGCCACTCGTCTACAGAGCGAAGCGAAAGGTTGCTAACTTCGTTCCAAGAAATTGGGGCACAGGTGGGGAAGAATTATTTTGAAATGTAATCAAATATCACTTACCGGTTTAAACGACGAGTTCTTGCTGTTCACAGATGATTATCTTTATTGAATATGCATATCCCGAGGTAATATAATACCGTTTAACACTTTTGGTCGTTTTTTTTGCTGCTGCTGATGTTGTTGTTTTTTTCTCGACTTTTCTCTGTTTTTCGGTAAAGGTATCTGTGTTTCAAAATATATCCATGAATTGAATAATATGTTAATAATACAAAAACACAAAATTATTCTAGGTTAGTATGTAAACACAAACCAGTGTGACTATACATATATTTTTGATTTTTTTTTTAATACAATGTATATTACCAGATTTGAGGTATTGAAATGCAAAAAACTTATGTTTACGTAAAATATTTGAAAGTACTTCGGTACTAGCTTGAAATACAGGTATTGGTATTAGAATTTGCTGTTACAAAATTTTTAAAATTATTTAAAATTGAGGAACATATCTACCTCATGCAAAGCTCTGATTTCTTGATAAGTGTTGGATTTTCAAATATTTTGGCCCCGCGCATTACTGAAGAGAAATTTATTGTCGAAATGCACATCTGGTGCATTAAAATTGGTACTGTTAATGTTATTTAAGAATAATCAACATTAAGCGTTAGAATATGTACATTTTGTACCCTTTGTACCCTCAATATAACCCGTGTTGGTTGTAAAAATAAGCTAATCAATGCCCGTAAACCAACACGCGGCAAAACCGAGATAAACGAACTAGTGAATTTACGATATCTAAGCAGTTTCAGTGTTCATTCTAGTATGGTAAATATGGTCAATTTGCAAAATAACCTTCAAGACTCAAAATTAACTTTCCCAAACTGTGAATTTTTCGAAATACTAAAGTTTTCTATCCATGGAATAAATTGCCTTAGCTTTATTTGGAAAAACCTTTCGGAATTTTTCGTTTCAGTGCTCTTCCACTTTGTACTTTATTGGCCTTTTTAACTTTTTTCATTCGAGCGTCACTGATGAGTCTTTTGTAGACGAAATGCGCGTTTGGCGGACAAAATGTTAATCCTAGTATCTATGATGAGATCCATGCCACTGCTGGTGGAGGTTTCCACCCGAGGGTATTACCAGCCAAATAGTCAGCACTTATGTGTTGACATGAATTATCATTAATATGGTCACAATTGTAAATTAACTGTTTTACAAAACGGTGAATTTTTCAAAATACTAAGGATTTTCTACCCCAGGAATAAAGTAACCTTGACTAAATTTGTCAAAATTTTTCGGAAAATTATGTTCTAAATGCTCTTCAACTATGTACTTTATTGGCCTTTTTAACTGTGTTGATTCGAGTGTTACTGATGAATCTTGTGCAGACGAAATGCGCGTTTGGCGGACAAATTTGTTATCCTGGTATTCATGACGAGTTTATTTACAACCACTGGGTAGAAGCCACTGCTGATGTATCACCAACCTATCCCAGAGTGTATCACCAGCCTAGTAGTCAGCACTTATAAGTTGACATGAATTATCATCGAGATGGTCATAATTGTAAATTAACTGTTTACAAAACTGTGAATTTTTCGAAATACTAAGGATTTTCTACCCCAGGAATAAATTACCTTAGCTGTATTTGGCAAAAAAACATTCAGAATGTTTGGTCTTCAATGTTTTTCAACTTTGTACTTTATTGACCTTTTTAACTTTTTTTTATTCGAGAGTCACTGACAAGTCTTATGTAGATAAAACGCGCGTTTGGCGTGCAAAATTCTAATTCTGGTATCTATCATGAGTTACGGCACATAACCGTACGGTTGCCTATAATTGCTAACATCCACTTCATTTGAACTTTGGTGGATAGTTGTCTCATTGGCAATCATACCACATCTCCTTATTTTATATCAATATATTAGTTAACAAAACTCCACAAAACAAAATCTTTTATTAATACATATTCATTGTTGTGTTAATTTCTTAAATAAGGACATAATATTAAACCTTTCTTATAGACTGCAGAAATTCAACAACTGACCATAATTACAGTGGAAAAAAAAACATAACCAGGACAGGAAACACATGCATTCATTGGATGAGTGCTTCTGCACACATCACACAAGAAGAAAATTACTGTAGGACACCTGCAGGAGATACTTACAATGTTGATGGTCCTTGGTGTTATATTGATAAGTCTGGCAGCCGGGAAACGTGTAATGTACCTGTGTGTGACGGTAAAAAGTAAAATAACAGAAATACCGAACTCCAAGGAAAATGCAAAACGGAAAGTTCCTTATCAAATGGCAAAATCAAAAGCTCAAACACATCAAACGAATGGAAAACAACTGTCCTGACTTGGTACAGGCATTTCCTTATGTAGAAAATGGTGGATTAAACCTGGTTTTATAGCTAGCTAAACCTCTCACTTGTATGACAGTCGCATAAAATTCCATTATATTGACAACAATGTGTGAACAAAACAAACATACATAATAGATAGAAATGTCAAAAATAGGGGTAACATTGTGTTATAATCTTTAATCACTATAAACACAAACAAATATGTCAACAAAGAAAAACGAAATGGCATATAGACAAAGTACATTAGCAAAAATGAAAAACAAGAATACAAAAATTGACCATAGCACAATAACACAATGACGGGATGTATTAAATCATTGATACGGTCATAATTATAAATTAACTGTATACAAAACTTTACATTTTTGAAATACTAAGGCTTTTCTACCTCAGGAATAGATTACCTTAGCTGTATTTGGCAAAACTTTTAGGAATTTTTGGTCCTCAATGCTCTTCAACTTCGTACTTTATTTGGTCTTTTTAACTCTTTTTGATTCGAGCGTTACTGATGAGTCTTTTGTAGACGAAACGCGCGTCTGGCGCAAATACAAAATTTCAATCCTGGTATCTATGATGAGTTTATTTAATACCGAGTCACGCCAAAGGGATATTACCAAAAATAGACTAAACAGTAAAGGGAATAATTTACAAAGACAAACAAAATAACACTATAACACGTAATTAAGATGATAAACAACGTCAGTTCCTAGAATCTAACTTCAAGACCATCATGTATTATTTGTGAAGGTGATACGGAATATTTATCAACAAGGTCTTGGTAACTTCCGATGAACTTTTTTTAGAAAAAGGACGAGACGTTCCTTGATATAACCCTGGTTCATCAACTTTCTGCTCAGACACTGGTGACGTTTCATAGTCTGAGTAGCAGCTGCAAGGTCTTGAATATCGAATGAGTTTGGAAATGTATATCCCATATGCAGGTGGAGTTGGTATATTGCTACTAAGGTGGGGGGAAATTGATAATTTCAAAATTAAAATCGTCTCGTTTGTCATAGATTCTGGTACTGAGATGACCCCGCTTATGTCAAATTCGAGATATAAGTCTAAAAATGAGGCGGAGGAAGCCTTGTCTGTTGTTTTTTTATTTTCCTGTTATTGAGGATATATTAATTGAACCCAATTAGAAAATTTTGGATTGTTCATTGAAAGAACATAATCAATATATCTGAATGTGAAATCAAATGATTTAGCTTCTTTGATCTTCTTGTTTTTAACAAGTGTCTGGAGGAACTCCGACTCATATGAAAATAAGAAGAGGTCGGCAAGAAGAACCGCACAATTCCTTTCCATATGAATGCCGACAATTTGTGGAAAAAGTCTACCTCCAAATTCAACAAATATGTCATCAATAAGAAACTCCAGCATACTGATCACTTGTTCCTCTGTGTATCATGTTTTACCTTTTTGTTCACTATTAACAAAATATGCCGTATGGTAAGTTATGTAAATTCAAACAAGGTATGCGATAAAAGGAATTGACATCAAATAACAGCTCTGCATGTACATAGATATAAGAAGATGTGGCATGAGTGCCAATGAGACAACTCTCCATCCAAGTCAAAATCTATAAAAGCAAACCATTATAGGTCAAAGTACGGTCTTCAACACGGAGCATTGGCTCACACCGAACAACAAGCTATAAACGGCCCCAAAAATTACTAGTGTAAAACCATTCAAACGGGAAAACCAACGGTCTAATCTATAAAAGAAACGAGAAACGAGAAACACTTATGAACCACATCAACAAACGACAACTACTGAACATCAGATTCCTGACTTAGGACAGGTGCAAACAATTGCAGCGGGTTTAAACGTTTTAATGGTACCAAACCTTCACCCTTTTTCTGAAACAATAGTGTAACATCACAACATAGAAAGACACACTATAAAATATCAACTGAAATGGCTTAACTCAATCAAAGGACATATTAACACCAGTGAACATACACTGAACAAATAAATTTGACCTATGATACAATGTAAATACAAAATAAATAAACTAAGGGAAGAATAATAAAAGTAACGCTATGAAATGTTAAACAATTTAAGAAAAACAATATGCTCGAACAAAAATATCATCCATTTGCAATTACTTTAAACACAGGTAAATGAAAATAATTTTGTTGTTAGGTATACGTGTACAGTTCAAATAGAGAAAGGAAATATTTTTACAATTTTGATGTTCATAGTACGAAGTGAAAATTTATAGTAATACCAAACACTTATCAAAGCTGGTATATAGACCAGATATAACCCCGAATAATGTATAGAATTGAATTTTCTTTGCGTCTTACGTATATTGTTACTCACATTGTAAACTGTACGGAACAAAATCCAATTAAAGCAATGCATAGTAAAAGCTCCAAACTTTTTTAACGTAAAGTTTTACTCTTTTCAAGTTGTCATGGTGATTTTTGGTGTTATTTTTTTTATATAGAGACTTGAAATTCATATCATTCAAATGAATAAAAACAATTAGGTTATTGAATACCACATATAAAGAAGCATAGATTTGTATTTACAAATAAATTCATATGAGGTGGTATATATGTCAATAAAAAGGCAGACCAAATGACATATATTCTTATTGAAGACAACAATTAAAACAGGGTTCATTCCCAATAGATGCATGTTTTTCTAATTCTTTGGCAATTTAACCAATTCTGGGCCCATTGTTTAAATTTTTTTAAACAACGTGTGGTTGTCGATGATCTCAGTAGATTATTTGCTAAGTTAAAAGTTCATACACTTAATCAGCTCTCTGGATGAATTGAAATGTGCTAACAGGTGTAAGAGAAATTGACAACTTTATATTTGTATCGTGTAGAAATCAGGAATGTGGTAGGCACTCGAATGAGTTTTCGTTTATCAAAAATGAAAACATATCTGATTATCATTAGAGAAACATATTATTGCATAGCTTCTCGTGGATTATAGGATTTATCGAACTCGATGGTTAAATTTTCAAATATATTATGTAAAATAAAACAAAATGAAGCGACAGACAGCAACCAACGACAACAACTGGATAGTAGGCTCTTGACTTGGGACAATAAAATATATAATGAGGCGGGTTTGTGAGCGTTTAACCCTCCCCTAGCCTTGGATAGTGTTGTCACAGCTCAACATAAGATCAAACTGTAAATAGTTCGAAGTAGCTTTACTCAATTGATTGGTCCACAGTTGCTGACAGATAGCTTACAGCAAAAAACAACTAATAAATAAATCATGTTATCTCAGACTAAGGTATCAACCAGAACACACCCAACGGATTTAGTGTGAAGACGTCATAAAAAGTCTGTAAAAGCATAACCTTGTTCATTTCTAAACTGTGAGTACTTAATATCTACAGAATGTAGAACCGTAACTATTATAGTTACAAAATGTGATATTGCAAAAGTCCATTATAAATTTTGTACATAATTTTAATGCAGAAAAAAAGAGAAAATTAAGCTTGGTTTCAAACTATAGATAAGCGACCTTATATTCATTAAACAAAATGACAGATGCCATTATTGAACAAAAACTATAATAACCTTAATAAAAATTTGTCACTTCCAAATGAGATCGAAATATTAAAAGTTGTTTTCTTTATAAATCCATTTAAAAAATAACCGGTATAGCTTTGCTAAATTACAAAACGTGTTGTTAAATACTACTCTGTTATTTTACTACAAGTTTAACCCATTTTTTTTCATCGAAAAGTGCCTGTACCAAGTCATTATATGACAGTTGTTTTTCAATTGTTCCGTTGGTTGATAACGCTTAATTTTGTCAGTTTTTGTGGACTTCCCTCTTTTTTTAATTACCTTGGAGTTCGACATTTGTTATACTTTTTTATATTAAATACATGTGAATCACATACTACATTCAAAGTATAAAAGGGTTCATAAAGAATACTAGACAATACAGCAAACCAGACAAACATCCGACTCTTCTGAAAAAAGCACGTAGAATCAAAGAAACAGCAACGAACAACTTATAGTCCAGATATGTTGACTTGATTAGACACAATGTTTGCATACATGTGTATTAGGAAATTGGGAGGGGGATAAATAATGTTTACATGTGCATTAATCTCCCCTTTACCTATCTAGATCGAATTTCGAGCTAAAACATTCAATAAAATCTGTTAAGCCTGCATATGGCAGCTACATGTACCAACAGAATGACCAAAGATTTGAAAAAGGAAATGAAAGCAGGATCAAAGTGTCACACGTTGAGTAGTATTGTGAAAATAAACAGAAGGGACAAATTTCAAATTGTAACCAATACGAATGAGTACAGGGCGAATAGATTGTATCTTAATTTAGATTCTTAAAAAAATCTGTTTGCGTCATTGTTAAAAAAGCAAGTTTGCTTTAATTAAACTGAATAGAATTTAGTTCACAATAGAAAGTAAAACATTCCTTAGTTATTTCATATATGTACACTGTAGGTGCACAATGTTCTGACCTATCTGTGAGGCCTAATGTGATTTCAAAAGAAGAAAGGATTACATTCCAATACGGCGAAAAGGCTGCTCTTACATGTAAAGCTGGATATAAATTGAAAAACCCGACGACTCTGACGTGTCTGCAATCAGGGAATTGGAATGACAGGTTACCTCATTGTGAAGGTTTGTTTATGAAGTCTTTTTTTTATTTTCTTTTAATAAATTTTTTTTTAATTGATTTATGCAGTTATTTTTTTAATAAAAATTGTAATGTGCATTAATGAAATCAATATAATCTGTTGAAAAAAACAAAGTAAAGCCCCCGCCCCCTGTATTGATAGTAAACCTTTTGCCTTTCTAAAATCACGTATAATGAACAAAATATGGATCGCCAAATAAAATTAAGTATATATTTTTATTTGCATGTATATGATTTCAGAGGTGACCTGCTACAACAAGTACAACCATGGTCAAAACTATGTAGGTAATGTCAGTAAAACATTTTCAGGAGAACCATGTTTGAACTGGAAGGTAGTTAATTCTCCGTATGCAAACTATCACGAAAACCATACATACTGTCGTAATCCACTACCAAGTCATATTGATAGACCATTTTGTTATACAGCAGCGGGATTTAAATTTAGCAAGTGCATCATCCCAGTCTGTGGTACAGTATAAGCATATTGTGTTGTCAATTTACTTTAAATAACTGCTCCAATCGTACAAAAACCCAACCGAATAATTAGATCCTTTATCAGTATGATGTAAAATGCATATTATCAATCTATTCTGATTTTACTATAACAATTTTGAATGTAATACAAATTAAAAACCGAACCATGCTTGTAATCCTTAAATTCAAAGTTCACGCATATCTAACATTTACAACGGAACTGCATATCTATAATGCACCCAAAAATGAAACTTACACACCCAGCTGTCGTGGTTAACACTGCGCGATTTAAACTTCACCTTTAATTGATTTCATTTGGTTCCAACGTTTTTAATTTTCTTATCGGAATCATTCCCGAGGGATTCTCTCCTCCTTAGACCAAGCAGTGTTGTGGTCTATGACGGTTATAGTCAATCATTGAGATCTGCCTTAGTGTGGCCAGGAGATCTCAAATATCGACTGATGAGAAGGTGAGAACAAACGATGTCCGACTTTCAATCAAATACTGAATACCCAGACTTTTAACAGTCACTCGATTGGTACGAAATAAACCATATTTTGCAATGTTAATTTCAAGACTACAGTTGCTAACCACCGCAGCGGGGTGTGTTAGTTTTATTTTGGATGCATACATGCAGGTACGCAGCTCCGTTGTAAATACTAACGTGAACTTTGCAAGTTTAAAATTATACGTGCGTGGTTCGCTATTTAATTTGTTTTAAATCAAAATTAATCATGTTATGTACGTTGTTTAACCTATTTTTAATTTACTTTTATATTATGTTTGAAATTATATTGTAATTATTCTGCTCATTTTGGGCGCCGTGATTGGCAAAGAAAGTATTTGTTTGTTTGTTTGTATTACGTTTAAGATTGTTTTAGTAAAATCAGAATAGACTGATAAGATTCATTTTACTTCATACCAAGTGGTTTCCTAACTCTATAAATCTTTATTCTGCAATCAGACAACTAGTGTGCAAATAATGAGAATATGAATATCTGTTTCTCTTTCTCTGTACAGAATTACTGTATTTGCGCTGAAATATGAAAGGGAATCGAATATTACGAAGTACAAGAAACAGAGAAACACTGTTAACAATTTAAAAAAAAATCGTTAAAGAAAGATTTGAAACTAATTTAGATAACATTATATTTAGTAATGCTCGAAATTCAAAAAACTAATTGGAAAACAATGAAAAGGTTAATAATGTCGAATAAGGGTTTAAATAATATTACTCCTCTACAAAATATCGTAAACGATGAGGATTTCAGTGACATAGTATATGAGGATAGTGAGAAGTGTGACCTGTTGAACAAATAATTTGGTTTGATATGCAAACTCGAGGAGGAAAAAATTCCTTTTCCAGAGTTTGAGGTAAAAAATAATACTTATATTCAAAATATATACATAAATCACTATTTATCCGAATAAGGCATCGGGACCAGATTTGATTAGTCACAGAATGCTGAAAATCTGCACTAAGACTGTGGCGGTTCCTTTACAAATCATATTAAATAAATCTCTTCAGCATGCAATAAAATTGAGAATGGAAATGGGGAATGTGTCAAAGAGACAACAACCCGACCATAGAACAGACAACAGCAGAAGGTCACCAACAGGTCTTCAATGCAGCGAGAAATTCCCGCACCCGGAGGCGTCCTTCAGCTGGCCCCTAAACAAATATATATACTAGTTCAGTGATAATGAACGCCATACTAAACTCCAAATTGTACACAAGAAACTAAAATTAAAAATAATACAAGACTGACAAAGGCTAGAGGCTCCTGACTTGGGACAGGCGCAAAAATGCGGCGGGGTTAAACATGTTTATGAGATCTCAACCCTCCCCCTATACCTCTAGCCATTGTAGAAAAGTAAACGCATAACAATACGCACATTAAAATTCAGTTCAAGAGAAGTCCGAGTCTGATGTCAGAAGATGTAACCAAAGAAAATAAACAAAATGACAATAATACATAAATAACAACAGACTACTAGCAGTTAACTGACATGCCAGCTCCAGACTTCAATTAAACTGATTGAAATATTATGTCTTCATCATATGAATATCAGGCACAATCCTTCCCGTTAGGGGTTTAGTATCATACCATCAAAACATATATGAGAAGAACATAACCCGTGTCATGCCAACAACTGGTTTTTAAATAAATGTGTTTAGTGCCGATGCAAAGACCCTATAAGTGGATCAATATTAACGCCAAAATATGCAATCTTTAATGACCTGACAACAGTATCGTAACTATATCCCTTCTTAATAAGTCTATTTAAAGGTTTTGTTAGCTTCAGAGGTGAATACTGACATTTTTGTGTTTTATAAAGAATATTTCGATAAAAAATTGGATGTGAAATACCTGAACGTATAAGAAGTCTGCATGTTGAGCTATATTTACGAATGATGTCCTTATACCGATGATAAAATTTAGTAAATGTTTTGACTAGTTTGTGATATCGAAAACCCTGGTGTAATAATTTTTCAGTAATACACATAAATTTCTCTCGTTAAAATCTAAAACATTGTTACATACACGAGCGAATCGTACAAGTTGAGATATATAAACACCGTAAGATGGTGACAAGGGAACGTCACCATCTAAAAATGGATAATTAACGATAGGAAATGAAAAATCATCTTTTTTATCATATATTTTAGTATTAAGCTTTCCGTTAATGATATAGATATCAAGATCGAGGAAAGGGCAGTGGTCATTGTTAGTATTAGCTTTATTTAAAGTAAGTTCAACAGGATAAATTTCATCTAGCTGCAAGACTGCAAATGTCATTACTATTTTTAAAAAGGTGATTCGTCTTTACCTTCAAACTATAGGCCAGTCTCTTGAATAAGGTGTTTAGTTAAAATCATGGAATGAACTGTTTTCAAAAATGTATACAATCATCATTTACATATGAATAAGCTATTTTATGAATATCAGTCTGTTTTTTTTCAAAATATTCAACTGTACATCACATACTAGATATGTATAATTGTATTCCCAACTCGAATGAAATAAAGGATATAAATTGTATTGTCTTTTGCCATTTTTCAAGAGCTTTTGACGAGGTTTGGCATCGAGGGCTCTCACATAAAATGAAAGCTTACGGAATACATGGTAATTTATTTAACCGGTTTGAAAGTTATGTTGGTGATAGAAAAAAATGTGATCAATAAATCATCATCCTCATTTTGCAGTCTTTGAGCGGGAGTACCTCAAGTTTCGATACTTGGTCGCTTACTATTTATAATATATATAAATGACATTGCAGAGAAACTCGCATCTCTGACCAGACTATGCGGATGACAGTTCGTTATTAACATTACTCGGGGCACGACGAGGGACATATAAACGCTGTTGTTGATCGTGACTTGGGAGTTGAACGAATGATTAAGAAGGCGGATTATGTTTTTTTTTAATCCAGACAAAACAGAAATAATGATTTTTTTTTCAAATAATGACGCACCAGATCTAGAATTCTTCTTAAATGATAAAGAAACCCCTGTTACAAATGTCACAAACACAATGGGGTAACGTTTTTCTCTAATGCTTGGTGAAATAGCCATATCGACAATTTGATAACCAGTGCTACAAAACATTTAGAGATACTGAGAAAACTCAAGTACCGACTTTGCAGGGAAAATTTTGAAAAACTATGTATTAGTCATATGACCAATTTTTGAATATGCAACTGAGGTTTGGGATAATTGTGGGATAGGATATGCTGATATACTTGCAAGTTTGCAGCTAGAATAGTTAATGGTTTGCCTATATTTACAAGAACGGAAAGTCTGTATGAGGAAGTTGGGTGGGAAACTTTAGCTGACAGGAGGAAATGACGAAAATTACAAATGTTTTATAACATACTATATAAACAAGCTCCGGGTTATCTATGACATCTCGTTCTACCCTGTGTACAGAGCTCAACATTATATCCCTTGCGAAATGGTAATGATAATATTGTTCCTTTTTGTAGATTATCACTTACTAAAGAAATGTTGTACCATTAATTATAAGACTATGGGATTATACTAATTTGTCCCTTTGAAAATCAGATTGTATCTCAAAATTTAAAATCCAATTAAAATGACTAAATACTATAAATAAAGATGTTACAATAAGCACAATTTTTATGGACCGAGGAAACTAAATATAATTCTAACTCAATTATGATGCTCCTCATCTCTCTTAAGGATCATGGCTTGTTCAGAGTCAATATAATTGCTGACCTATCTTGTCTTTGTGGGTGCAGTATTGAGACTGTTCTTTATATACAGACTAGAGAGAAATTCTGATGAACATAAGATTGCTCCTTAATGACCCGATATTGAATGTTAAGTTACTAACATCTGGTAATCCGAACCTCTCGTATGAACAAAACGTCCAAATATTTACACATGCATTCGAATTTATTAAAAGGTCTGAGATATTTCTTGTCATATGGTACTGAATAGTGTATTTGCGGTACATGCACATTATAGCTAGACTCGTAAAGTACTGTTTATTTTGAAAAAAATGCATGCTCATATTAATATTGTATCGTTATATATTGTAATTCGTAGCGCACTTCATAAGTATGGTTTACTTGTGTCCAGTCTATTTTACTTTGAGTAAATAAAATATGTTTAAAATTAACTAAAACCATGTCAATTATATTTTTTTAGCTACGAAACTTTTCTTCTTGTTTCTAAAACTCTCACAAATGAAATTTAATATTTACAGTGTACAGCTCAGTGCACATGTATTTTTATATTGATGACAGTATTTTAAAAAAATGTTGATTTAGTCTCTCTGACATTCATACTTCTATTTATCCAAGTGAGCTGAGCATTCATTTATTTTAAGAACGATTCAATTAAGATTGGAACTATTCGTCAAGGACGTAATTCAGTTTAATGAGTACTCAGTCCGTTTATCTACGTTTTGTATAAGTTACATCGGAAAAAGTCCGTTGGTCAAGTAGGCTACTGGTCCGTTGAGAGTAATTAGTAAAAACTTACCACAAATATGGTTGACTCTTTTAATATACTAATATTAGTAATGGGTTTTCCAAAAAGTAGTGAGTATCTATTATAAGGGTTCAGAATTACAAAAAGTAAAAACAGTAATTCAAGTTAGAGTTAACTGTTTGCCTGCTATCTCTGAATAAAACTGAAAGGTGGCAATATAATTCTTCAAATCTTCATAGCTGTCACTTAAAAAAGAGGAGTGGAAATTAACATGAAAATAGATTACCTTAGCCATGTAAGCTGTATTTTTTTGACAAAAACATTTCATAACTTGGGTCCTCAATGCTCTGTAGCTTCGTACTTGATTTGGCATTTTAAATTTTTTGATTCGAACGTCACTGATGAGTCTTTTGTAGACGAAACGCACGTCTGGCGTACAAATGATAGACTATGAGCTTATTCACAAAGAATCCTGGAATGCAAGCAAATAAGATATATACAAACCTTCTGCACCGACAACTCTTAATATTCAACGTGACTTGTGATTAATTCATGGGGTGAAGGTGTGTTTCTCGGGACAAACTAGTTTTCAACAAGAATACTTAGAATCAATGTTGTTTTTATCTTTACTTTTTTTCAAAACAAACTTTCAATTTGTGAATAAGCTCCTGGTATATTTGATAAATTTTCTTATAGGAATTATTGTCCTTTCATTAAATGATGATTTTTACCCTTTTGGGAAAACAGAAAAATAATTATGAGAAATTTATTCATGGATTATATTCTATGGTACAATGTTGGATCGTGTTCATTGTTGAAAATGCATGCACTAAGGCCTGGGTGGGCGACATAGACTCTTCAGAGCCTCTACTTGTTTTCCTCATATAACTCAGGCCGTTAGAATTGTTTTACATTTGTCATGTTGGGGTCTTTTATAGCTTGCTATGTGGTATGGGTTTTGCTCTAATATCATATGGGCTCTTGTGGAAAGTTGTCTTATTTGCAAACAAACGACGGCATCTTCTTATATTATTAAATTTACCTTACCGTCTATCTTAACATGTGGCTTTAGACTAATGGCCAAGTGTCCTATCAAAGTGATCAAGTCTTCAATATTAAGAATCTGCTTATCAATTTCTCCATCTGTTGTTTGGGCGAAACGTTCGCAGATTTTTCTTCAACGTCATGTTGTTTTTACAAAGGGACGTAACACTGCTACTAACCCAATATTAAAATAAAACACGCCCACTAACCCTATATTAAATATACAGGGTCTCCATGCGGTCGCATTCCTAGAAATGTATAGGAGGTAAGAGTAATATAAAATATATGAATAGCAGTGAATACGCAGTAAGATTCGTTATCACATACATGCATTTCTATCGTTTGTTGTCTGTACGCATAATTATGCTATTTTGTTCAGAATTCATTAGAATTGCCACGAAGAAGACGACCAAATATCTCATTATTAGCTCCTGCAAATTAAAACATTTAAACATCGATGAAAGATAGACTAAAGCGTTTTGTAATCTTGAGAGTCATACAAATTTAGTATCCAGCGCTGGACACAGTGCATGCTGTTTTGCCACGATATCACAGAATCCCACTGAAAGAAGAACAAAAATTTGTGAAATCATACATTATTGGACTGTGGCGAAGCATATAAGTTTATTGTTTTCTGTCTAGTATTAAATTAATAGTTAAGATCCATTTTGTTACATCTGGTGATCCGTTTCTTCGGCAATCGCCAATGGCAGTCAGCAGAGTTTAAGAACATCCGTTGTTCGACCTGCTAGTCAAATGCGTTTTGTTAAAATATACTTTTTCACTTTTTTGGTCTTTAGGAAAATGTTGTTTGTGCTGTATTTAGACCCCTCTACCAAGAAATTTGTTTTGCATGCACACGTATAAAAAATGCGGTTTTTATCCAACGCAATCATAGGTTTGAACGTTGTTTTCAATTTAGACTTGTTTATATTTTTTGCTTGTATTATATTTGCCTTCGGGTTTATATAATCCGTTCATCCTATTTCGACTCTTCAAAATTGAAAAGTCAATCCTAAATTGAGGTAAACTATAAGGCCTTCCAAATACCGTTTTGATTCCTAACATCACTGAAGAGACATTAATTGTCGAAATCCGGATATGGTGTACCAATTTTTGCACTAGATGTTTACGGTATACCATCTTTTCCGCAAGTTTATTGTTTTCTGTTTGGTATTAAATTAATAATTAAGATCCATTTTGTTACATCTGGTGATCGGTTTATTTGGCAATCGCCATGCCAGTCAAGCAGGGTTTAAGAACATCTTTTGTTCGGCCTGCTAGTCAAATGCGTTTTGTTAAAATATACTTTTTCACTTTTTTTGTCTTTTGGAAAAATGTTGTTTGTGCTGTATTAAGACCCCTCTACCAAGAAATTTGTTTTGCATGCACACGTATAAAAATTGCGGTTTTTATTCAACGCAATCATAGGTTTGAACGTTAATTTCAATTTAGACTTGTTAATATTTTTTCGTTTGGGCTTGTATTATACTTGCTTTCGGGTTATATGACCTGTTCATCCTATTTCGACTCTTCAAAATTCAAGAGTCTATCCTAAATTGAGGTAAATTATATGGCCTTCCAAATACCGTTTCGATTCCTAAGATCACTGAAGAGACATTAATTGTCGAAATCTGGATATGGTGTACTAATTTTTGCACCTTTTGTTTGCGGTATACCATCTTTTCCGAAAGTTTATTGTTTTCTGTTTGGTATTAAATTAATAATTAAGATCTATTCTATTACATCTGGTGGTCGGTTTATTTGGCAATCGCCAATGGCAGTCAGCAGGGTTTAAGAACATCCGTTGTCCGACCTGCTAGTTAAATACGTTTTGTTAATATATACTTTTTCACTTTTTTTGTCTTTTGGAAAATGTTGTTTGTGCTGTATTTAGACTCCTCTACCAAGAAATTTGTTTTGCATGCACACGTATATAAAAATTGCGGTTTTTATCCAAAATTAAATGATGATTTTTGCCCTTCTTCGTATTATGGGAAAACAGAAAAACAATTATGAGAAATTTATTCATGGAATATATTCTATGGTACAATGTTGGATAGTGTTCATTGTTGAAAATGCATGCACTAAGGCCTGGGTGGGCGACATAGACTCTTCAGAGCCTCTACTTGTTTTCCTCATATAACTCAGGCCGTTAGAATTGTTTTACATTTGTCATGTTAGGGTCTTTTATAGCTTGCTATGTGGTATGGGTTTTGCTCTAATATCATATGGTCTCTTGTGGAAAGTTGTCTTATTTGCAAACAAACGACGGCATCTTCTTATATTATTAAATTTACCTTACCGTCTATCTTAACATGTGGCATTTAGACTAGTGGCCAAGTGTCCTATCAAAGTGATCAAGTCTTCAATATTAAGAATCTGCTTATCAATTTCTCCATCTGTTGTTTGGGCGAAACGTTCGCAGATTTTTCTTCACAACGTCATGTTGTTTTTACAAAGGGACGTAACACTGCTACTAACCCAATATTAAAATAAAAACACGCCCACTAACCCTATATTAAATATACAGGGTCTCCATGCGGTCGCATTCCTAGAAATGTATAGGAGGTAAGAGTAATATAAATATAAATATATGAATAGCAGTGAATACTCAGTAAGATTCGTTATCACATACATGCATTTCTATCGTTTGTTGTCTGTACGCATAATTATGCTATTTTGTTCAGAATTCATTAGAATTGCCACGAAGAAGACGACCAAATATCTCATTATAAGCTCCTGCAAATTAAAAAATTTAAACATCGGTGAAAGATAGACTATTTGCCTTCGGGTTTATATAATCCGTTCATCCTATTTCGACTCTTCAAATTTGAAGAGTCAATCCTAAATTGAGGTAAATTATATGGCCTTCCAAATACCGTTTTGATTCCTAACATCACTGAAGAGACATTAATTGTCGAAATCCGGATATGGTGTACCAATTTTTGCACTTTATGTTTGCGGTATACCTTCTTTTCCGCAAGTTTATTGTTTTCTGTTTGGTATTAAATTAATAATTAAGATCCATTTTATTACATCTGGTGATCGGTTTATTTGGCAATTGCCAATGGCAGTCAGCAGGGTTTAAGAACATCCATTGTCCGACCTGCTAGTCAAATGCGTTTTGTTAAAATATACTTTTTCACTTTTTTTGTCTTTTGGAAAATGTTGTTTGTGCTGTATTTAGACTCCTCTACCAAGAAATTTGTTTTGCATGCACACGTATAAAAATTGCGGTTTTTATCCAACGCAGTCATAGGTTTGAACGTTGTTTTCAATTTAGACTTGTTTGTATTTTTTCGTTTGGGCTTGTATTATATTTGCCTTCGAGTTTATATAATCCGTTTATCCTGTTTCCACTCTTCAAAACTTAAGAGTCAACCCCAAATTGATGTTAATTATATTGCCTTTCAAATACCGTTTCGATTCCTAACATCACTGAAGAGACATTTATTGTCGAAATCCGGATATGATGTACAATATTTTGCACCTCATGTTTGCAGCATACCACCTTTTCCGCAAGTTTATTGTTTTCTGTTTGGTATTAAATTTATATTTAAGATCCATTTTGTTATATCTGGTGATCCGTTTATTTGGCAATCGCCATTGCAGTCAAGAACCTATTATTCAGACAAACAATATTAAGATATGAGTGTCATACATTATAATAAGTGAATATGTTAACTCAAATAGAAAAGGAATGCATAGAATCATATAATCCGATCTTGAAAGATATAAATCATTATTTCCAATTGGCTAAAATCGAAAATTTGTAAATATAGATTGCAGAAATTCAACATCGGATCATAATTACGACGGAATGATAAACATCACTAGAGATGGACATACATTGGAATAAAGCCATTAGTTATCTGTCTCAACAGGAGAATTACTGCAGGACACCGACAGGAGATCGATATAATGATAATGGACCTTGGTGTTATTTTGATACGGAAGGAGGACGGGGTAGTTGTAATGTGCCTATATGTGATAGTACGATAGTTTTAAAAACTTCATTATCATTTTTTAAAGGAGTGGTGTTTAAATGACTACAGGTAGATTCACAATATAGCATGTCTTACATTCTGTGTCGATTCCACTGCTAGTGGAGGTTTCCTCCCCGAAGGTATCACCAGCCCAGTAGTCAGCACTTCTGTGTTGACACGGAGAATCATTGATTTGCTCATAATTATACATTAACTGTTTACATACTTTGATTTTTTTGAATAACTAAGGATTTTCTAACCCAGAAAAAGATTACCTTATCTGTATTTAGCAAAGCCTTTCGGAATGTTGGGTCCCTAATGCTCTTCAACTTCGTACTTTATTTGGCCTTCTTAACTTTATTGATTCGATCGTCACTGAATAGTCTTTTGTAGACGAAACGAGCGGCTGGCGTACAAAATTTTAATCCTGGTTAATCTGATTCTACGAAAACTCTACCATAACAAATATTGTTAACTGTAATGCTACAGGTGTAATTTGCAATGCAGATAATGTTTGTGATAAATTTGACATAATTCATGTTTTATAGGTCTAATGTGTCATTCATTAAGACACATGTAACTACCTTCGATGTTTATGAGTTATCTCTCGATTTGTAGTTGGATTCGGATTTTCTTGTTTGTTTTTGTGTTTATTACTTTCTATTCTATATTCATATAAAAAAAGCTAAACATTTATACTTAAAGGCGCATCATGTCCAGATCTATCGCTTCGGGCCCATTTACAAACACAGGACAACAAGGATTCATACAGATATGGAGAAACTGTCAACCTTGCATGCGAAACTGGATACAAATTAAATGGTTTAAGAAACCTATCATGTCAAGAGTCTGGCAATTGGAGGAATACAATACCAACATGTGAAGGTAGTAACAATTTGAAACCTACTAGGCTTTAAGTCTTAAATAACTATGTAACGTCAAGTTTGAAATCAATTTTCTGTCTTTTGCTTTTATTATACATGAATATGCTTATTAGAAAGAAAAACTGGTGAACCAAAAATTGCTTCAAACGATAAATACTGGTAAAAATCAGATGTTTAAATGAGATGACGTCTAAATGACATCGTAATCAAATATTTCCATACTTTATTTTGTTGTTGCAAAACTAGGCTTATTTTAAGGGCACGCGAAACAGTACCAGGGGCACATAAGTATAGATTATCGGGTTTTCTACCAATTGATATTTCAAGTTACACAGTGTGCTAGTGATCTAATACGATATATAGGTAGAGCAAAGTTCGAACCCTATATGAATTTTACTGACCCCTATATATCGTATTAGGTCACTAGCACACTGTGTAACGAATTTATCTTACCGATTATCTTAACATGTGTTATTTAGACTAGTGGCCTATCAAAGTGATCAAGTCTTCAATATAAAGAACATACTTCCATTAGTCTATATTAAAACAAATGCCAACAATAACAATTTCTTAGTCTTTAATGTGTTTTCAACATTTATTTAATCGTTCATGGTCAATGTTTTCGTCTGTTGTCCGGGTGAAACTTTTCAGATTTTTCCTCAACGTCGTGATGTTATTTTAAAGGGATGTAACACCTCTACTAACCGTGTATTAAAATAAACCACGCCTACTAACCCCATATGAAATACACACGGTCTCCACGCGGTCACTTTTAACCAATAATATTCCTAGAAATGTATAGGAGGTAAGATAATGTAAAATATCAGTCGCGAACCACAATGTGAATCTTTTCAGCGAGTGAGCTCAGCAAACGAACAAATAAACATCACATTTTGAAGAGCGGAATTAGATATATACATTTCTGTACTGTTTGTTGAAATATAAATCCAAATAAATATTTAGAACATCAAAAGTCAAGCATTTTGATATTATCGTTTGTTTTGTATTTGTTGTTGGGTTTTATTATTATGGAGTTCAATTTAAGCAGAATCTGCATTTGTATATAATTTTGAACATTTGTCCAAATCACGGAAGATTCTAAAAATCAAAAAGAGTTTGAAATATACTTAATTTAAGAGTCAGTTATTTTGAATGGATTTCCCCGATTTGAACATCGGCCAACTACTGTTGCCTCCATTATTTTGCACTGAATAGTACCTTCTCATTTGAAAATGTGTTTTTTCTCTGTTTTTGTTTCAGTTGTTACTTGTCATGGTTTCTCAAATGAACTTCATCAAAAATGGCACCCAGTTAAACAATCATACATATATAATGACAATGTCACGTTCACATGTGATGAAGGATATGCATTGGCGTCATCTACAAGTATTACATGTCATTCTGATGGAACATGGAGTGACATTCAACCAAATTGCACAGGTAAGCATTTATTTATATAAGCATTGTCTTTCATATTCTGTTTATTCTTTCATTATTTAGATATATCATTTGTTTATCCGAACCACGAACATAGGTTTTTTATAAAGTTATTAATGTAACATGTTTCAAACGTAAATAATGAAATAAAATCAAGAGTTTCGGGCAGAAAACAACCCAACGTGAATACCGTCAATTGTAGTCAAAGCTAATTATAAATACTCTGATCGTAGTATGTTGACATTAAACCATTGATTATAGAAATCCTGGTGTGAAGGTAAAAAATTGAAAACAACACGTTTAATAATTTCATGCGTCCGAAGCGCTTTTCTGGATTTACCTTCATCAGGAACGCTCAAAGCCAAACATTTGAAATCCGAGGGATGTATAAGTACCGAAACAGTTGAAGAGCTATATGACAAAAATACCTAAAACAAATAGCCAAATCCATCTAAGGTCAACTTTGCCTGAGAGAGTTGAAACCTTAGTTTCTTTATAATTTCAAAATTTATAAACGGGCAATTTTAGAAAGGTTTGTTATAAATCATGTCAGTACCGAAGTACTTACTACTGAGCTGATGATACCCTCGGGGACTGATAGTCCACCAGTAGAGGTATCGACCCAGTGATGTAAAAAAATTAAAAACAACACGTTTAATAATTTCATATGTCCGATGCGCTTTTCTGGATTTACCTTAATCAGGAACGCTCAAAGCCAAACATTTGAAATCCGAGGGATGTATAAGTACCGAAACAGTTGAAGAGCTATATGACAAAAATACCTAAAACAAATAGCCAAATCCATCTAAGGTCAACTTTGCCTGAGGGAGTTGAAACCTTAGTTTCTTTATAATTTCAAAATTTATAAACGGGCAATTTTAGAAAGGTTTGTTATAAATCATGTCAGTACCGAAGTACCGACTACTGAGCTGATGATAAAATCATACCTTCGAAAATTTTACGGACTTCATCAAGAGCTGGTTGACCGTAATGAACGTCTGTTTCATAGATGACGACGGATATTTATGTTTCAATTGTCTTACATGTAACAACAATCCAGTCCTCTTTTCCTCGAATGTAACCCTCATTTTCTTTTCCCATTCTGTCAAATTGCAAATTGCAAATTAAACAAATTATTTACCACCCACAGTTGACACGACACACACGCAGAATGGAAGTGTGTTCTCAGATAATTTAGCATAATTTTCCGCTAAAATATTGTACCTGAGCTAGCCCATATTTTTGACAGACATTCGTCACCATAGGGGTATGTGTATACACATGCTGTGTACAACTACCATGCATACTTTCACAGAGCAATTTGACAAGTAGTTCCCGAGCGGTATAGCCCTACTTGATTTTCTACGTGGTACCGCGTTAGAGTAGAACTTAGAGAGTATAAACCGTCGTGATATAGAGCTGATCAGCAATCAAGATGAGAGCTATTCCTCGTTAAGGTACGTCAGCTTCCTATCTACTCAGGAAATTTTGGAAACGAGAAAAATGTCCAAAAATATATTCATACCCAAAAAGAAATATGTAACGTACTGTTGCCTGCCAGAGTTTTTTTTCACGTTGTGTTGTAGTTAAAGGATAACAAAAAAAAATCCCTTTATATGTTAACCGAACAGTGTTATTTAAAGATATTGAAACAATGCATATCAATATTAATTGTACTGTAAACCATAAGTTTTAATTTTGATTTGCAGTTTTTTGTTTTTTAGATTTCCTTCAGAGGAGTTGTGGCTCATTCAAACTAATGTCTAAATAAAATACAGTATACATTTCGAACTGGAAACAATTTCATTTTCAAAATCTAAGACATCTACATTAAAGAAAGTAGAAAACACCAAGCGGCCAGTCGGTTATACGTTTTTTTTTAAATAAACCACAACACTTATTCACTAACTCAAGTCTCTGATCTATCCTACATGCATTTGTAATGAATCATACTTTTGAGAATGTTTCTAATAAAAAAGAGTGAAAACCAAAAATGAAATATGTTCCATCGCCCATTTCAAATGCAATATACACTCTAAAAATTGTGTTTCGGCCCTGAACACTTTCTTTAACATGTTTTACCTAAATATGAGCACACGTTTTTTAGCTGAGTATGTTTATCGTCAAAACATGTTACGGGATTAATGTGTTGGATTAGAAAATGTATATTATGCCATATCTATCAAATCTATAATCCCGCCAAAAGCTCAAGGCCAAAACATATCGTTTTATACAAAGAAGCAGTCTGGTCAGCCATTATCACAAAAATGAGTTCCAATAAACAAGAAGTAGTCACAATTTCATTGTAAGTATATTCATTTATTATTTTGTTTAGTTATTTCTGCCCAAGTAAGAATGCAACAGCATCTATAGTTCATACGAAGTTAAATTAGTTGTACATATATTTAACTTCAAAGTTAGATAAAAACTGTAATTTAAGGCCCAGGCTTAGCGTGGCACTGTGTGTGCCACATGTTACACCTGTCTTATTATTATCACGGGTGCTGAAAGTGTAAATTATACCCTTGAATGTACCATCGGTGAAAAGTGGGATGGTCTTGAATACTGACCATTAATTATGTTGGCTTCATATTACCCTAAGTTTTAGAAGTTGAATTCTTTTTATTTCGGTTCACAATGTTAATATTAAAAAAATCTTTAAAAATAATAAAGATGTTTGATTCCAAGTACGTCGGTATGATTGGGATTTTTTTTTTAAATTAATCACGTTACATTCACACCAAATGTTCGCATTTGTTCTGTTACTGTGTTGGGGAATCTTCTCCTGATTTGTGAAGTGATTTTATTAAATAGTTGTGCTAGAAAATGCTTTGAACAAATCACAATTGCATTTCCGCTATAAGTAAACATTCAATATGAGGTTTTGTTACTATTCCAATGTCAGTTAACGTACTTTGGAAAGAAATTTTAAAATATATATTTGTTTGCAAATAAGAGCAATTAATTTTCACATCTTACTGTTTATATTTTTAAGTGTATATATCATATATACAACAACTAATAGCCTGATAGAATATCATGATTTTTATCATTCTTAAGTTAAAAAAAGGTTTAAATAGATGTGACTAAGTTTTAACATACATTTTTTGTGAGCATGTTGTAAGAAGGCTAGCACATTAATCTGTCAGTGAAGCAGTCAATTGTATACATGTTGTAAGAAGGCTAGCACATTAATCTGTTAGTGAAGCAGCCACTTGTAAACATGTTGTAAGAAGGCTAGCACATAAACTGTTAGTGAAGCAGCCACTTGTATATATATGTTGTAAAAAGGATAGCACATTAATCTGTTAGTGAAGCAGCCACTTGTAAACATGTTGTAAGAAGGCTAGCACATTAATCTGTTAGTGAAGCAGCCACTTGTATACATGTTGTAAGAAGGCTAGCACATTAATCTGTTAGTGAAGCAGCCACTTGTTAACATGTTGTAAGAAGGCTAGCACATTAATCTGTCAGTGAAGCAGCCACTTGTATACATGTTGTAAGAAGGCTAGCACATTAATCTGTTAGTGAAGCAGCCACTGTATACATGTTTGCAACTTATTATGTATTCAACACATTTTTGATTGAGATAAAGGTTCATATTTCTCTAAAAACTATTTAAAACCTTGAATAAAAAATCACTCTTCCTATTTCAAGTCAAATTGTTGCCTAAATCATCCCAAAAGAATTCAATTTGGTTAGCTAGTTACATGATTTTTTTTTTACATCTTAATTAGTTCTTACTGTCTTCACATTGTAAAATGATTTCGATGTTGAATAAGTTATTTACATCCTCCTCCTTTAGTCTTTGCTGAATAGTTGTCTCATTCGCAATTATACCACATCTCCTTATTTTTATACCAGTTGTAGAAATTTGCAGAAATTACTGGATTGTGATAAATTTTTCAAACAATGTATTAGTTTATTGTTTATTTTGTGAGCAATCATTGACCATATGCTTGAATAGGGAAATATGTGTTGTAAATATACACGAATTTATAAAAATTAGAAGAAGTTGAACATATTCCCTCATAGCTTTTCTTTAAGGGTTGGTGTATTGCCTTCAACAATGCACAAATTCATAGAGGGCTATGTAAAGGTCACAACCACTTAATTTTACATGTAGAATTTGAAAGACAACTACAAATAATTGTGTACCCTTCATTACATGGGGAGGACTACTATGCCTAACAGCAAACTCTTTAAATGGCCACAACAAAGGCAAATGCAAAAAGATTCTATTTACTATATTTGCAGTCTTAGTTACCATAAGATGATTTATTATGTTTTAATGGCCACCTAGTTCATGTTCTATTTAATTTTTAATGAGTGTTTAGCCTAATCTAAGTTATGATGTGACTTACTTAAAATGTTTTATTTTTTGTTGATAAAGGACCAGGACATAAACATGTGTATCTTCAACATGTTGTCAGGTTAAACACATAGAGGGTTAAACATGTTTAAGCCTTAAACACTTTCCTCAACATGTTAAGAAGAAGAACATATTTAGCATAAGAACGAGTTTACAAATGCATTATAAGTAACATGTATAAATTTATGTTAAGGCCCTAAACACATTTTTAGAGTGTACGTCCGATATTTGCCAATTGAAAAGAGAAGGTGTGTTATATATCTACATGCATTAGACAGCAACTGAAAATTTAAAATAGAAATGAGACTCCTGTTTGTTTTTTCCACTGTATAAAAAACAACTTTTAATTAATTTAAATTTGCATTAGGTATTCCATGCTCTCCGTTGCCTAAGATTGACAAAGCCTTACTACCAAACCAGACAAAAGATTATCGATATCCTGAAACAGTCAAGGTCACTTGTGAAACTGGTTATACAGTTGAAGGTTATGATCTTCTTGAGTGTAATTCAACTAGATTTTGGAGTTCTGTACCACAGTGTACAAGTATAGGTAATAGTGTTAACATAAAAAAATCATTACTTTCATTTGAAATGATGTAAATGATATCGATAATTTGGTCATGCAGTAAACAGATAATTTTATTCTTACTGATAAAACCCTGTTCCGGATATTCTTTTTATCATATCTCTTTTTCTAAATTTTCGAATTCAGTTTCTAAGAATTATATTTTAATACACAATTGCATTTCATCAGGGTTTTTTTTTTAGCTCACCTGACCCGAAGGGCCAAGTGAGCTTTTCTCATCACTTGGCGTCCGTCGACCGTCGTTGTCGTCGTCGTCGTCCGTCGTCGTTAACTTTTACAAAAATATTCTCCTCTGAAACTACTGGGCCAAATTTAACCAAACTTGGCCACAATCATCATTGGGGTATTTAATTTAAAAATGTGTCCGATGACCCCGCCTGCCAACCAAGATGGCCGACATGGCTAAAAATAGAACATAGAGGTAAAATGCAAGTTTTGTCTATTATTTTGAAAACCGTTATAAATAGAGGAAATCTGATAGGGGCAGAAATGTTCAGAATGTTGAGCTATACCAATTGTCTGTATACGTCAAAATTATCAGACGACTTCTTGTAGGAGTTATTGCCCTTAAATGACAAATTGTACTTTTTTTTTTCGTTTTTGCCTATTTCCTTGAAAACTATAATAGATAGAGAGAAACTTTAAATTGCAAAAATTATCAATTAGACAAGTTCTACATATAAATCTCATGTTCGAAATCGTCAGTCGACTCCTTATTAGAGTTATTGCCCTTTTATGACAATTTGTTTGCGTTTTTGCCTTATATCTTAAAAATTATAATAGATAGATTGAAACTTAAATAAGCATAAATGATCAGCAAGACAAGATCTACAATTATGACATTTGGAGGAAATCGTCCGACGACTCCTTATTAGAGTTATTGCGCTTTAATGACGATTTTTACCATTTTTTTGTGTTTTGCCTTGTATGATAAAAATCATAATAGATGAATAGACACTTTAAATCACAAAATGATCAGATAGGCAAGATCTACTAACAAGTCAAATTTTGCCGATATAGTGTGTAGACTGTCACTCTTTATAGGAGTGATTGCCCTTAAATGATGATTTTTAAACCCTCTTTTGTGTTTTGAGCAAAAACTAAAAAAGATAGAGAGAAACTAAACAGACTGAAAGTAATTTAGACTAAAAGGCTAGATCAACAAAACAGAGATTTTTTTCATGAATTCTATTCTCGTCTACAATGTTGGAGAGTGTCCTTTGTTAAATATGCACATAGACCAAGGTTAGCGACACAGGCTCTTCAGAGCCTCTAGTTTTCAAATTATATGTGATTTTTTATCAATATAATCTAAATCAGCAAATTATTTCTTGAAAAATATGAGTGAATAATTAATTATTTTTTTCGTTTCAATATCAATTGTATTGTTTTAAAGCTTTACATTTTCAAATTAAATAGTACATGCATAATAGTGATATATTGAACATCCTTTTCCCGAATTCTTTTAAATAACAACCAAAGAAAACTCAACGTTAATCTTATATACCACCATGAAGAAGAAATAGTAGAAGATTGATTGATTGCTGATTGCTTTACGTTAAACAAAAGAAGAAGAAGTAGCAATGTACAAAAAGATTATGTGTTTATTTTGTAGATGTCCTTATTTGAAAATTCCACAATTCTAATTTTGAATCCATACTGAATCATAGAAAATGGATTTTAACCGACATCCAAACCACTCAATATTCTGTAATGAGGGGTACCTAAATTGCATAAATGCTTCACTTCACATCATCAAAAATCGAAAAACCGATGTTTTGTTTTATTTTCCACATATTTAGAACGATTTGACAACAGTCCATCATTAATATGTACTTTTTAAGAAATGGATGCCTGTGACATATTTAAATTGCTCAATTCCAAAAGTTGACTTTTTTGTGGACGTTGCATGCGACGCTTTCGTGAATTTTACTTTTTTTTTGCTGGATTCTTCATCATTTGATAAATAATGTGACCGTTTTGTGTATATTTAAGTATAAAAACACCAACACCAAGAAGATTACTTACATTTCGTACTTTATTTAGCCTTTTCACCCTTTTTTCGAGCGTAACTGATGAGTCTTTTGTAGATGACAGCGTGTTTGGCGCACACTATTTTAATCATGGTATCTATGCTAGTAAGGTTTCCTCCTTGAGGGTATCACCAGCCTAGTAATCAGCACTTCTGTGCTGACATGAATTATAATTGATAGGGTCATAGTTATAGATTAACTGTTTACAAAGCTTTGAATTTTTCGAAATACTAAGGATTTTCTACTCCAGGATGAGTTAACCTTGACAAAACCATTCGGAATTTTGGGTCCTCAATGCTCTTCAATTTTGAACTTTATTTGGCCTATAATGTGTTTTTTTTTTTACAAATATAAAAAAGTCACAAAACGCTAGCAAAACTAAAAATAAAAATCTTAAGCAAATCATTGGACCTTAAATGATTTGTCAATGTATCGGTAATTTAAGTGGAGATTGGAAAATTCGGTTTGCTTCTGTTTGTTGAAGGATCTTCTGAAATATTTTGATATGTCTTTCCCTGAAAATCAATATGCATGTAAAACCAATATATATATAAATACGTAGTTTGCGTTCTTTTGTCTAGACAAACTACAATCTAAGAAAGATTCCGTGGAAATTAGACGTATATGTATGTCCTATGGATTATTTGGAGGGATTTTAGCTGCAATAGTTACAATATCTGCAGGGGTATATATAGGAACTTGCTTTTGTTACAGGTAATAGAACTATTTTATCCATACATAGACAAGGAAAATAGTTTTATAAAATAGCACAAGCAATCCTTGCAAAAATAAAAGACAATATTCATCGATATTTTTATAACTTACTATCATATTACTCATAATAATGAATTTTTCAAAATATTGGACGTTGAAAAATGTTTACGCGCACGCTTTAGCCTAAAAATGTGGTAGCCTTTCGAAAGTTTCAAACATGTGGAATGATATTAGTACATATTTTTGGGGTAAATTAATGTTGGAAAAACAAGGCAGACGAGTCGTGAAACCGATGTTGGCGCAAAGAAACAGGAAGAACAAACCCTCTCACAAAGGATTTTTAATCTGTTACTTTAGTATTTTTATTTACTAGCTCTGGATCAAATAGTCTGCTGGTAGAATATTAGTCACTGAGGGTTTTCTCAGCCCAGAAGTCAGTGATTCGCCACCGACGTGATTTATAGCATATTTCTAAAATCCCCGTTGATAGATTAAGAAATTATTAAGAAACTTAGTCTTCTACTACCTAAAGCAAATTTTACCTTAGATGAATTTAACTATTCTTTTGATGTCCTTTTTGGTCTTTTAGCTCCTAACGATTGTAAGATATTTTATATATCCCTAGCGTTCACGTGTTTATATTTGATCGTTGAAGGTAATTATCCGAGTCAACAACGGCGAAAGCAGGTAGAATAACCTCTGCACATCGTCCGTCCGAAAATAATATTATTAAAAAAATACAGAACTCTAATTTAAATTCAAAAAGTTCGTTAAACCTAAAATAAACAAACGTTCGACTATATCAACCAATGGAATCACTGAATCACTGGACTAGACATCGTCTATGACCCCTATGATCATGTAATTACAGGGGACCTCAACATCGTTCAAGACCGAGAGGTTGTAAATTTTATGGAAAAAGGACCAAAATATCGTCCACCGTCAAAAATAGATTGGAAAGAGTGTCGTCAAGGTCATTAAAGATTCTTTTTCATCCTATTGTAAAAAATTGGTGCAAACAAGAAATCTGAAAAAAGTCACTTGATTACTATTTATATAAATATCTGACTATTGTTGATATTTGAATATCACATTTCGGAAATGATTTAGAAATTAATAAAAGGGAAAGAAATACGCCCATTTCTAGGATTAAAAACAAAAGTACTCGACAAGCGTTTTGTGTTTGTACCAGCCGCCAAAGCAGCAAACACGATGTAATTACTTAATGCTACACGGATGTCCTTTAGAATGAAATTATACCTTCATCTACATTCAAGGCCATGCGCTCAACAGAGACTCAAATAGTTAATAATCATGTCACTACCACAGCTCAGCTTAGACATCCTCTGTAAATTAGAAAGTCCCTGCTATTTATTGGCTTCCTAAACTACGAAAAAATGTTTAAATTTTGTCTCAGTTTCTCGCTGTGTTGAAGGCTCATTTATGGTCTTGGGCTGATTAATGCTCTTTTGTCGGGTTGTTGTCTCTTTGATGCATTCCCCGTTTCCATTCTCAATTTTATAAGTGATTGTTCAACGACTAATCTTTTAGTGTTGTTAGCTAGTTCCCTTACTTCTATCGAACTGTTTATTAAATTTTGTAATAAAGCATAGAAAAATAATGAAATAACTATTTTTGGAGTGTCAAAAACTCATTGGATGTTCTGGATAAATTGCGTGCTTTTGATGGTTCGTTGAATTCGTTTGACAGTTATGATTTTTCGACTCTGTACACTACACTACCACACAATCTTATCAAAGAGGCGTTTTCTTTTTTAATTAAATAGTCTTTTGAAAAATCTGTTTGCAGATTTATTTGATAACTCACAAAAAAGTCTTCTTCTGTACCGTTGGTTTTCCCGTTTGAATGATATTACACTAGTAATTTTTGGGGCCCTTTATAGCTTACTGTTCGGTGTGAGCCAAGGTTCCGTGTTGAAGACCGTACTTTGACCTATATTGGTTTACTTTTTTAAATTTTGACTTCGATGGAGAGTTGTCTCATTGGCACTCATACCACATCTTCTTATATCTAGATCTATTTACCTAAAATGTGATGAAATGATTAAAGCTTTAAATTTTATCTTTGATAATATTTATGTACGTTTCAGCAATAAAGTTTATCGACAGGTTGTAGGTATTTTTATGGGCACCAATGGTATCCCTTTGATAGCAGATCAGTAAAGATACTTCTAAATTACATTTAATTGATAAATGTAATAACACTTCCCTTTTATTTTATTTACCTTGATTGAATTTTTGTTTACTAGTGAACTTTACCAAAAAGAATCATATGAAACGAGTTTCTTTTAAATTTAATGTTATCGAAATTATTGAATCAATGCATGCATATATACTAAACTAAGTCCTATATGCACGTTGTTTATTTTTAGTACGAATTTTATAACGTATTACCGACAAATAATATTTCATTCTGCAAGCTAATTAACTTTCGAGTTTGTTGCCGAAGTTTACCGGATCGTGACAATAATAAACAATAAAAACAGAGCACATGGAGCACGTGACAATTTAGTGAATTGATAGAGCCATAATAATTTTTTTTTACATTTTCCATGCGTTCCCATCTGTTAATAAAACTTTTCCTTAACAGTTGTTAAATGATTTGTTGTATTAAATTTTGTTCTTTAAAAATCTGTTATTACTATTCAACCCCCCAGTGCATTTACATTCTTTCATCATGGTTTCCCCCTATCACTTGCGCTGTGCGGTGGCCGAAGTTTTAACGAGAATTCTCGTAGTTAAGGTCACTGCATACGGGAAAATATCTGCGAATTGGTGTACGGGAAGGCAATAATTCAATAGCAGTACATTTATGATTATTAAGAGAAAAAAAAAGGATTTTCTTTTACAAGAAAGCTCAAGTACACTTGTTTTATAGTAAAACTTATTAATTCAAGTATACAAAACATATTTATCTTTTTTTTTAGATTTGAAGTTTCATATGACTTTAAATAAACCTAATAACAGACAGTATTTAATGTACTTTTCTAGGTTTGGATATTTTAGTTTCACATGGGAAACTCTACACTAAATTTTGTTTTTCTCGGTACTTACATTGAGTCTGTTTTTGAAAAATTAATATGCTATATATGTACAGTTATGCAAACCCATGATCCTACATCATGTCGATATTGTTTCCCTATATTTTGGCATTGCACATGGTCATGCGTTTCTCAGATTGTTTATGTCTTTACACTAAATCCGTTGAATGGGTACTGATTGATACTTTAGTCTGGGAAGACAAGATGTATTTATTAGTTGTTATTGGCTTTGAACTAGCTTTTTGTAAGTGTGAGTACTGCGGTGCTTTGTGGCTACTGTTTTGATGATAGTTATTTTTGTGCCCCGTACCGATCTTTTGAGTTAAGCCAATTGCAACTGATTTTAACAGTTTGTTCTTATGGTGTGCTGTTACACCACTGTCCCATATTAGGGGGAGGGTTGAGCTCTCACAAACATGTTTTGTATGTGCCTGTCCCAAGTCAGTAGTCTGTAGTATAGTGTTTTTCATTTGTTCATGCTTGTCATATTTGTTTTTCGTAAATTGTTTTGTTATAAATATAACGCCGTTTGTTTCCTCAATTAAATTGTTTCAAGTTTTTATGTCGGACCTTTCGTGGTGGCTATACGGTTCTTATTGTTGAAGCCAGTACGATGGCCTACACTTGATTATTACCACTTCATTGTAACGCTGGTGGATTTTTGTCTCATCGGCAATCGCACCACATCTCCTCCTCGTTTATATAGGTAAAGACAGCGGAAGAAAATGGTGGGTTAAACCGATATTATAGCTAGCTAAACCTCACAATTGTGTGATAGTTGTATATCTTTCCATTATATTGACAAATTGTGTAGGCAATACAAACACACTTTATTGATTAACCTGCAGCAAAAATCATTTTTTAGATCTGCCTTTCAACTTCTTCCTGTTTGCCGATAGTTTGAAATTTAGCAAGGAACATTTCCGTCCCTTAACATTACATCAATGAAAGTACTTTCTTCAATTGGACATAGTTTTGCAAATCATCCTCATCAGTAATGCTTCAATACCCATGTTACCTAAATCAATTGCATGATCAAGTATTGGGTCTTTTTCAGAAATCCTCTCCGGACGAACATAATTTATAAAGTGTTATTTCATTTATCCACAATCCATGTCTTTTAGAAGAAATGGTGCATTACATGTTTTTTGTATTCAAGTGAATTTAAAAACTATTTAAAAAATATCGAGCTGTCTAAAACTGTTCTAGATATAGAACTGTTCTGTTCTATGGTAAAACTGTCAGAATAAGTTCTAGGATAGAACTGTCGAAGGCTGTTTTAGGAAGAACTGCCAAAATCTAGGGTAAAACCGCTTCTTTCAGGAAAACTGTTCTACAGGCAGATCTGATCGATTTCAAGAGAGTTGTGAACTGATCCCAACTGTAGGCACCATAATTTAGATAACGGGGCGATACGGGCGTATCAAATATGTTTTGATTATGTTTTGATTTTCTACTTCAGTCGGCTTACAGATAATTTTATTGGTTGTTTATTTTCAATATTGCTTGATTTTAATATTAACAATGCAGAATCTTTCACAAAGAAAGATTAGATGTATAATATAATCCCCCCTCCCCCCCCCCCCCACAAAAAAAATCTGAATTTTTGAAATAATGTTCTTCGGCTTGTAACAATTTATATTTCAAAAATCTAGAAGTTGATCTGTAGGTAGATGTTGAACAACCTCGTAAAAAAAACCAGTTTAGGTTTTTATTTATATTTAGAAAGATGTTTCTGTACTTGAACATGCCATTGGGGTAATCTTGAACAGTATAAAAAGATATAAAACACCATGATGGAAAAGATATATTTCCTTTTTTTTTACAAAATATTCATTTCTTAAAATAATCAATGTTTCTCTATCTTCCTTAAAATATGGAAATTTAACTGCAATTATCAAGAATGTATTTAAATACTGAAGTCAAATTAGTATTTTCACATCAATTCGTGAAGCTAACTTTATCTTTCATGTTGCTTAAACGTTAAAACATTATATACGTATATTACTATATAGAAATGACATCAATATTTAGATGTATCGAAAACAAAATCAGGCTTATTGTTACAAGTCATTTACAAAATGTACATGCAATGTCAGTGTCAGTATCAAAGCGCCGGCTACAAAGCAAATAATTGATATTACCTTATACTCGGGATGTAACTACCAACTGTAACCCCCTTTCCAAATTAAAGCGAAAAAACCAGTTGAAGAATATGCATGAAATATTTGGCATTTGATAAAATTATGCTCATCTTAACACAGTAATGGACAGGATGATAATTTTGGGTGAAATATTCATGTTTAGCTGTTGCTAGGCTGGCTTATCTATTTCGTGCTTACTTTTGTAAACAGTTATTTCCCGTAAGTTGTTGGGCAGAATATTCATTTACATCCTACATTGGTCTAGGTTAATATTTGATTTCTGTTTTTTCAAGGATATTTATTTCCGAATCCCCCCCCTCCACCAAAAAAAAATCAATTGGCCTTCCCTTAATATACTATTTTGTAAGAGTTTTTTTCCTCTTGGATGGGAGCATAATTATAAACCTCTATAACAAAATAAGTTTTAACTAGATCACCGCGGGAGGATGTAAAGTTTATTTGGAGGTGTTGACAAGATACACAAAATCATACTTTGATTAACTTCAATGGGTCAATTGCAAGCACATTGAATAACCCATTAATCAATTAAATTTCATTCACCTGTTTCAGCGTCTTCAATCTTGAGATGTTGGTAATATTGTTTACGCACATCATCTTCCTCCCAGAGTCTGTCGTCCTTAGTGCGGTCAATTATTTGATTAAATATTAGTGCAATACACCTTATTATCGGTCGTCCCACTGTCTGTATCACTCTGCTCAGCTCTTAACAAAATTGCATATCACAGCTTTGTGACGTAAAATACGTTGACCCACCCTTAATAACTTTGACCGGGACATATCACCGACGTTGATAAGTTTGACCCGAACTTATCAAATCAGCTTCCAGTTTACTGGTGAATCAAAGAAAACACTTGTGTCTATCATGCAAAATACAATCTGATAAATCGATTATCTGGTTGTCTTCATATTGACACAATATGACGCCTTTTTGAACTCGTTCGCTGCGCTCACTCGACAAAAAGTTTGATATTGTGACTCGCAGCTTTCAATATGTGGACAACCTGATAATCGGTGCATCATGACTGTTATTAATTGATCGAACAATTTAAGAGTGTAAATTGATAATATGACAAACAATATATATACATTTTGGCAAAACCCATGAAAGATGTTGGTACACATTTTATGTGAAAATTTATTTCTTGTCATTTTCGCTTGAAGTGAAATTTCACATTTACTTTATCAACAGTGATGTTACCTTTAAAGGGGCATTTGCTACGAGATATAAAAAAATATTAAAGAACGCTTTTTTTCAATCATTAATGGAAGTGAAATAGAGAAATAATAATTCGCTTTTAGCAGCAGGTTTGGTTCAATTTTGTCAAAATAAGCTAAGAAACATCGGTGATGAATTATTCACTTGCAAGTAAATAATTCGACCTCATTGAATCCGTATTAATGTGACCTTCAATTTAACCCCTTAAACCCTTAGCTAGAGATGGGTTACGCATGATTTATGCGTGTTCAGTTATTAAAAGGAATAGAATGTCAGCATTGAAAGTGAAACAAGGGTAAACCAATTGATTGACTAATTCGATCCACAAAAAACTTATTCTTATACAGGTAAAAACATATATTTTTAACCTATAATATGAAATCAAACAGACATAGAAAACTCTAATTGCACGAGTTCGCTATCTATTTATATCTATATTTATGTTTATATCAGTTATATGACCGTCGGCAGTCTTCGGAGGTCACCTCGATGGTTAATCAGATGGCGTCTAGACTAAAATACACACGAAATGCTAATACATATTATCGAGCCCATGCATTGTTAATAATTTTGTTTATTTTAGACTTTTTATATCTGGATATACATTTAAGTATGTTATATATCAAATATGAGAATTTGAGTCAAATCGGTGAACATGAATGTGGCAGCTAATGCCCCTTTAATGGAATAATGGAACACATCCGGTAATATAAAATGAATAATCTTTTGCTTTTCTACCTTCAAAGGAAACGATTGAGGAAACACGTTACAGTATATGAAGATATGCAGTTAAATACGGGTACGTTTATAATTGCTCTCCATTTTAACAACGGTATTTGTCCATACTTTTTGCCTTTTAATCGGCAGTTATTTCTCACTTGTTCCGTTAATTAATAGCTTTTGATTTTGTCAGTTTTTATGACCCCCAGTTTTTGGTGTGGTTCGTGTTGCTCAGTCTTTAGTTTTCTATGTTGTGTTTTGTGTACTATTGTTTGTCTGTTGGTCTTTCTCTTTTTTAGCCATGGCATTGTAAGTTTATTTTCGACTTATGAGTTTGAATGTTCCTTTGGTATCTTTCGCCTCTCTTTTATGGACTTCCTCCCTTTTTTTAATTTGTCTTGTATTTTTGTTGTACTTTTCTTGTTAAACCTCAATGGAATTTCACTTTGTCAATATTGTGCGTTATATGAATTTTTTAACTAGACCCAGTGAAAAAAATGTTAAAATTGTGACTTTCAATTTTTACCCTTCACTCAAAGTTCGAGATCATTGCAGATGTCTGAAATTTGACCAAGATAACAGTAGTACTTTTGAAAACACAAAAGCAGTTCCTGAAAAACAAATCTAGCTATATAAACCAAGCGAAACAATTAGAAGTACAAATCAATTATGAAGTTCATGGAATATACTAGAAGCACAAAGCTTTGCTGGTTCCAATATTGAATTATCCATTGAATTTTGTTGGGAACTTATACACTACTTTACAAGATGAAAATAAATAGTAGCAATATATGTAAATTTTGCAAAGAAGAACCAGAGATCATAGAGCATTTATGTTGGAGTTATCATACGATCTCCAGTCTCTGGCACGCACTAAACAACTGGATTTTTGAAATGACAAATATTGAACTTCCTTTGAATATCAAAATTATTCTAAAAACATTTCATTTAAAACCCTCTCTGAAGAGGAATATAACAAAATATGGAGTCCCTGGATCCCCATTATAGACTTATTAATAATGTCGGTTTTTGGTTTATCAATTTGCATTTTTAAAATACCACAAAGAGATATCCAAGAACGAATTAATAGTCCCTCGTTATTAGATAATTATTTTTGTTTAAACTAATGTTATACCATTATCTCCTCCCAGTATATATTCAATATACAATATAGTTACAATGAAGCAAATTCATTATAAAAAAAAAGTTCATGAAGTCGACAATGTAAGTTTTAGGACAACACTTATATATTTTGGGAATAGCAGATGTTAAAAATTGATTTTTGCCCAAAAGATGTTTAACCTTTCGTGAAAATGGTTTAATTTTAGACTGATTCTGGTAACATTATAACAGTCAGCTACTGAGGTTAAAACATTAAATAAAAGGTACAGAGATAAAATTCTAAACATGTTTCACCTCATTTTCAAAAAATGCTCTGTCCTCATCCAAGGAAATTTGAGAATATCAGGAAATATTTTGAAAACTAGTTAGTCACTGTTTTACATTGGACTATTGATATTAAAGACATAAACTTGATGTTTTCAAAAATATTTATTGATTATGTACATTGTGTTATATTTTTACTTAATCTTGGTGTTTTATGCAATAAAGTAATGTAAATGAATTGCAATATAGTGTGTATATCCTCATTTAACATGACGATCCGAAGCCTTCGTACGAATGATTGTTGATTTTTATTAGCACGTAAAGTTAGGGTATCAGTTCTAGCCTCCTTTTAATCTATCAGGAACTCTATAAAACTTCTATCGCCGTTAGCGCAGTTAATGACAGAAGCTGTAAACCCTAGAGCAGTTTAAAATTTCTATGAAGTTCGAATTCTATCAGAACAAGTAAAATTGTTAAAGTGTTAATTTTATTTTTTAATTTCTCGTTTACAAAAAGGAATTATAACAATAACAACTTTGGTTGTTTCTGAATCCTGTATTATATGTATACAGATTCCTTGCTGCTAAGGACTAGCTATAGTTGTAATATTGAACTTATCATTTTTCAGTTGAAAGACAGAATTCAAGGAACGAGGAAACGTACACTGAATTGACATGAAGATTGTATCAGAAATTTTTCAGAATAATGGTCAAAAATTTACTTCTCAGTTCTCGTTCTACCAAGGAACACGTAGAACATATGTTTTTATTTAAATATCTTCGTACGTTTTATCAATATAAAAAAGAGTGAAACCGTGTCATCAATGAAATTGTATATAGGAAGTGTGTTCAGATATTTATCTTAGAAAGATATCTACTCTGACAGTCATATTTGTTTTTATATCTCTGGACCAGCCTAATCTAATTAATAGACAACTTGAATGAATTGTTTTTTGTAAAAGTGTTCACTGTGGTTTATGAGAAACATTGTTAGATGAAGTTTATCTATATGAATGGATATAAATACCCAAAAATAAGGCCAACATGATATTATTTACGGCATAATTTTGTAACCTTGTATGATGGGGTTTACATCCTAGATGTTGAATGGTGTAAGCTGACTGATGCTAAAGTTACTGATTATATATGTTGGTGCTACGACCAATCCCAGTGTAGAGTAAAGTGTTTTGCAAACTCTAGAAGTTTAATTTTTAGTTAACCCTACATATTAATACACTGGAACTTTGTCAAAGTGGGGCGTCCGTTTGGCTGTGCGGGATGTACAAGTACACAGCCACGTCCGGTCAGAATGGGGACGTTAAATCCGTTGCTTTGTGTAAAGAGTGCCCTTGCAACAACTCTTTGAGGCGTCCGTAGGTGGCCTGTTGCAAGGCAACATTTCTGTCCCTATCCAACATAACCTCATTTTCCAGTGGCAATTTTCCCCGATTTACATCCCGGACGGCCTATATTACAGGACATACATATTGTGTTTATTGATATCTTGTTCTCGTCCCGAATATTCATGAAGTGGTTGCCACTGGACGTTAAGCACTCAACAATCAATCAATCAATCTGTACTTTCTTAAACAAGGATAAAAATAGACAGGTACATGTACCTGTAACTTATAGTCCATTGAACAGTTCAGACAACTGATTGTGATCGAGTTTAACATTCATTACACTTATCACATAGCTTTATATGTTGCGTTTTCAAATTATAATTTTTAGTCAACAAAAGTTCCTCCTGAATTTACAAACCTAATGTGATTGGTTACAGACGGATACTTTTTTCTTGAAGATAAATCTCTGTGGCCAAAATATCATGTTGATTCCTTGCCATATTGAACATTTTTTTCAGATAAAGTTAAGCCTATCCTGATATCAGATTCCATAAGCAAATATGTGGATAATGTAAATGATTTGGCAGTTCAACCTTACATGCGAGCTACTTCAGTAAATGCTGAATATTCATTTAACATGATAACTTAAATGCGAGCTACTTCGGTTAATGCTGAATATTTATTTAACATGATAACTTAAATGTGAGCTACTTTAGGTAATGCTGAATATTCATTTAACATGATAACTTAAATGTGAGCTACACCAGTAAATGCTGAATATTCATTTAACATGATAACTTAAATGTGAGCTACTTCAGTAAATGCTGAATATTCATTTAACATGATAACTCAAATGCGAGCTACTTCAGTAAATGCTGAATATTCATTTAACATGATAACTTAAATGTGAGCTACTTCAGTAAATGCTGAATATTCATTTAACATGATATTTAAATGTGAGCTACTTCAGTTAATGTTGAATATTCATTTAAAACATGATACTTAAATATGAGCTACTTCAGTAAATGCTAAATATTTATTTAACATTATAACTTAAATGTGAGCTAATTAAGTAAACGCTTAATATTTATTAAACATGATTACTTAAATGTGAGCTACTTCAGTTAATGCTGAATATTCACTGAACACGATAACTTATAATTTTAAACTTACCGGTATAATAGCATACAGTTATTGTTGTCATGTTGGTACGAATGCAATACTGATTAAAAGCATATAATAAATGTTCGACCTTTTCTAATCTAGTAAGAACAACTGACCCTTTCCGGAGGACATGAGTTCTTCGCCGTTTTTTTTTGTGGGGTTTATGTTGCTCAATCTTTAGTTTTCAGTATAGACTGCAATTTGTCTGTTCCCCTGTTTTTTGCCATGGTAGTGTCTCATTTGTTTTAAGTTTTGCCCATGCGATATCTTTACTCCTGTTTTCTTTCAAACAATCCCAACAACAAAACTTTTACAAAATAAAGTAACACATTTTAATTATGGAATGAGATATATATTTAGGACGAGAACAAATCAACAATAATAGCAACAGGTAAGTACTAAAAAGCGGGTCAATTCGGATCACGGACAGAAATTTTAACTGTCACAGAAAAATTAGTGTAACTATGTTAGTTATGGATAGACATTTTGCCTTGCAACATTTACTGATATACCCCCAGAGAGATGTTGCAAGGATTCCTCAACTTGCAGAGAAAGTAGCGCTCTCCTATCGAGACATCGGAGATCACATCCCTATTCCGATCGAACTAGACTAGATATTTATGCATTTTGCACTACTAAACGTATGGGTTTTACTGATGAATGGGAGAAGTCAATGCACGATCATATTGTTTCCGCGTTAACCCTTAGTTCAGAGAAAGATAATTCCTGTTGTGCAAATCATATTATATAACGTTTTAATGGGTATTCCTGTTAATAATAATAGTGCAATTTTATTTCCAATAAATATTCTTTTTGACATATTAAAAGATGACTGTACTACTAAGAGTTTTTCATTCGTATCCCAAAATAATGGCAGGATCTCCATTTTTACGACTATAAAGAAGTAAAACTGTTTTCGGTAGGCGGGGGAACAGTTTTGAAATTTATTGTATTCAACCTTTTGAATTTTCAAATACCATTTAAACTTCAATATGAAATTACGGGATGTGGTATAATTACCAGTGAGACAAATATCCATCAAATACTACATAACGTAGATGTCAGCAACTATAGGTCACCATACGAGCAAAATCCATATTGCACAATCAGCTATAAATGGCATCGAAATAGAAAACAGTAAAAGAAAAACAAATTTGAAATACAGCAACAAATGACAACCACTGAATTACAGGCTCCTGACTTTGCACAGGCACAAACAGAATGTGGCGAGTGAAATAATGTTTACGGGCGTCCACTTCCCCTAACCTGGGACAGTGATGTAACAGCATCTCATAAAAACATACTAAAAAAAATACTTGAAAAGTGGTTGACTCATGAAATTGATACCAAGCAGAAAAACTAAAATACTAAAGACACAATGTACCAATTTGAGAGTGCTCGCAGTTACTAAAAGCTAGTTTAAAGGCAATAACAACTAATTACAAAATCGTGTATCCAAGAAAAAATATCAATCCGTGCACATGCAATGGATTTGTCTGTTTTCTTCGAATTTAAGCCTTTCGTTGCCTTTTTTTATATATGTTACTCCTATTGTATTTCCTTTTTTATTTCATTCAAGAATCTTTACATATTAAAAATCTGTTTTTTCACCTTCAAGAAAATTTTTGACCGATTTTCCTTTTTCACTCCCCCCAAAAAAATGATATGATTATTTTAATATAACGTTTGCTAAAATATTCAGTTACATCAAGGAGGTTATATTAGAAGGAGGGTGCACGAAACATGATATTTACACTTAAAATGTAAAATGTTACCGCCTTTTTCGTAAGGGGGTGTTTTAAATAAGTTGTGATCGATTCAGTTGCACATCTGACTAAGAACGGAAACACACGAAGTGTTATAAAACGGACCAAGATTTTACAAAATAAGTCTGAGATCATGGCTCAAATCTCGACAGTAGACTTACTTACGCTATGACAGTATTTCATTTTACTCCCATGCTTACACGAAGGGGAGGTTTGGCCAGGTCCAAGGCTATAAGAAAATACAAAAATGATGTTTTATGTTGACAGAACATGGTCGACGATTTAATTATTGGCGATATGTACATTAACAAAATGAATGTGTAAGTTTTCTGACTCTTGATTGTGTTACTGAGACAATTAAGTACTAGCTTATAGCAAAATTTGGCTAGTATTGTCTCCAATATGTTTTTTTTGACCATAGACATATCTGTTTAAACGTTTCTGGCTTGGCCAATATAATTCTATTTAGTTTTTCTCGTATCATACTTTCGAAAATAAGTAAATTAATGATAAAACATTTAATCTTAATGTATGAGAAAATACAATCTGATTGAAATTCAGACCCTGTGATACCACTACGCTTCCAAGGTTTGCAAGCAAAGCGTGGACTTTAATCTGATTGAAGAAAAATATGAAATTTAAATTGTAATTGTACATCCATATTTGGTGTTTTAAGGGAATATCCGTAGACTCAAACACGCCTATGTTAAAAATGTACATCACTTCCTCCTTCAGGATAAGATTATTTTCTATTTCAAGATTGTTTTTTAAACTACCATTCGTAGTGGACAGAAATGCAAATTGATGCTTTATTAGATCAATCTTTTATCGTTCTGTAGAATTTTTCGATTGCAATATTGAGTCGTCAAAATAAAGACAACCATGATTTGTAAATTACCAAGTCAGTTTGTTCTACCATGCATTAATCAGATTACATTATGCAGATTACAGACTATTACGATAACATTCATAATTAATAAATTTTCACGAGGAAATATGCAGGCTGTCGTATTTAATAACTTAATTATAAAGGAAGGGGCAGTCGGGTCATTTTCCACATGACGCGCCTACTTGCGTACTGTCAAATATATAATTGAATCAGGGAATTTTAGCTAAAATATTTCAAAGAAAGGAATTTGAAGTAAATAGAATTCATATTGAGTTTTTTTTTTCTATATCTTATCGCCAGATAAGGAGGCACTTTTAATTCTCGACGTTCAAATTGCCAATATATATTTAACTGATAATTTTTATATACCGAAATAGTTTTTGAAATTGACCCTTTTCCGTGCAAGTAATTTTTATTAGACGCGGATGAAGAATTGATTTTTAGAGGAGACGTGACCCTAATAATTCATCGAGCGAAGCAAGTCGAAAACTTTTGGAAGAATTTTATGGCGAAAAATATCTTTTTCAAATTTTAAGGGGGACTGAATCCTCTCCTGCTTTAACAGGAAACAATTATGAAGTTAACCACGGGGTGTGTATAGATTTGAATACAGTAACTGCATAGCCATTCATTGTCTTGATAAAGGTTTAACACTATTTTGGGTCAAAGTTGATTTACGTAAAAAAATAAGATTTGATATTGAAAACTAATGTACATATTTATATATCATCTTATTGACCGAAGCTTAAAGGAAACCAAATTTTGTTAAGTTTTTACATTACTAAATTATAATGTTTTTACAAAGTAAGGTTTTACCGGAAATAAGATGATGTACTTGTAAAAGAGTCCGGCGTATTACATTATTCTGACTCAATCAATTGATAAAGTAGTGTGTAACACTTTCGATGAAAATAACAAAATAAAAGGAATTATAGTTAGTCTAGTGTAACTATGACTTCCGGATATTTGGTTGGTGTAACAATTGTTTTGTATATTAGATGTCAGTCACAAGCTGAAGGTATGGATAACCATTTATTTGAAATTTTAATTATTGTAATACAAAGACAAATTGCTTCATTTTTATTTCATTCGAACAATATTAAAAAAGACGTAGAGATTGGAATGTTATATACGATTAATATCCTCTAATTTGCAGAAAGTAAACAAGCTAAGGTTCTAACGTTAAGTAATAAATCTAAGTTTTGTTTCGATTTGTTAAGATAACTCTTCTATTTTCAAATCCATTGTGTCAGTGATATGAACTGGTATGCATGATATCGTGTAAGACTAGTATTCTGTAATTCAGTTGGATTAAAAAATAATTGAGTGTCGTCAGTTGGCCAATTCCCCCCCCCCCCCCCCCCCCCTTTAAAGTCTTTCACTCATTGGATCAAAAGCCGAAACATGAATATCAAAAAGATTAATGTGGTATGATTGTCAATAAGGCAACTATCCACCCAAAATCAAATGCCGTAGATGTAAGCATTACCGTATGGCCTTCACCAATGAACAGCAGCCAAGCTGTATAGTAAGCTATAAAAGGCCCCGACATGAAAAAATGTTAAACAATTTAAACGAGAACACCAACGA